ATGGCTTTCTCAGAATGGAGCCCACGTGACCACGGACAGCTGTAGTGTGTAACCCATGTCCAGGCACCTTGGTCGTCTGGGTATAACCTATACTTGGGTAGAGGTGTACGTTAATATTACACCGAAGTCTACTGTACTGTAAAAATGTGTTTAGATCCCAAACACATACCTACACACGTCCCATGTCTCATATTTTTTACATATTTAGGTCCAAACATGTTAAGGATTATGGTTAACAGCTAAATGTGACTTGGGTTTAAATGTGGGAAAGACCCGTATATATGGAATACTGTAAGGGACATTCTCGCGATCTCGACCTTTGGAAAAGAGCTAAATATGCCAAAACACGAGAATGGAAGCGCACATTATATTACACCGCGTCCACTGCACTGTAAAAATGATCCTAAACACAAACCTACACACGTTCCTTGTCTCATATTTCTTACATATTTAGATCTAAACATGTTTAGGATTAAGTTGATCAGCTTAACGTGATTAGGGTCTGTATGTGGAAAAGATCCGTATGTTTATATTAATATTGTTCCGAGTTCGATGTAAGTCCCGGTGTAGTATATGTTATGCAAGTGTCCGTGAATCTGATTTGCACATATAATTTCATATTTGACTTATTGCCTGATGATAGGAACCTTATTTAAACTTATTCAAACATCTTTTGATATGACTCGGCCAGGAGATCGAATCTCCGACCTTCCGCTCCTCTACGTCGGGATAGTAAGGTCGGGATAGCAATCGCCATATGATTAATTTTATATAAATTTGAAGCAATATTCGATGATTATTGTAGGGATGTCCGTTGAACTGATAATGGTTTTCACTCTTGTAAAATAACAAATTACACAACCATACAACACTATCGAACAAACTGGCGATACGCCGACACAACCCTGGCATACTGTTGAATACTACGCTAACCCTAAGTCACCCACTACAGACATACATGTTACAATTGGGGTGAATTAGTGAATATGTTATACTCTACGTTGCCACAAACATATTGTCTTATTCCATATTCCGCACTTACCTTACAGATATTTCCAACGTTCACCACAAAATCACAGCAGGGGAACGAACAATCAGATAAAAAACTTTTCATTGTGGATAGGCTTCCTCATGCAAATTACAGTCTAACAATTCCAAATGAAAGTTTAATGTAGCGCTTATGTCGTTCAGACGTCAATAATATGTGTCTAAGCTAATGTTCATCTCCGTTTTAAAAGAATTCTCACCAGTTTGTTGGGATTTGACATGCGCCGGAACAGTCGTCAAACATACGCCACTTCTGCTTCCATTCAAGATGTCTAGAATTAACGCGCACAAGAAACTCGTGCACCGGAAGTGAGTTCTGATTGGTTCAACTCGTAACCATAGTATCGCGTGGTACTGCTGGCGAACACCTGCATGAAATATACAACGCCTCAAACTTGATTTGACATGTGTTTGTATAAATAGTCTAAAGCAGTCTTTAAAGACAGTTGTATGCTTGCATCGGTTTAGAAATACTGTACAATGCCTGCTTTTCTTTTTGTTTATGTGACAACAGCGTATGTGTTATCGGATAGTGCTTGGTCATCTCCTCTGTATTTAAAATCCCTGCTCATTATCCACTCAGCAATATTCCAGCTATATGACCGCGGCTTGTGAATAATAAAGTCTGGATCAGACAATCCAGTTATTGACATCATGAGCATCGATCTACGCCATTGGGATACAGCTTGACACATGTTGTTTGTGAAGATAATATAAAAAAAAGACAAACAATGAAACTATTGCTGAAAATGTTTATTTTCACATTGAGACCATTCTCACACTCCATTCACTCATTAAGTAAAAATATACCAACACATTACATAAATATTATCCTGGGAGACCAGCACATACCTCACACGAATATGTCTCTCTATTATGACTAACATGAGTGCCAAAGTTTCTAGCACATTCTACAAGCTTAAGGCTTGAGCCCAAGATGTTTATTAATAAAACAAAATAATTTATGCATATGTCAGGTGTCAAAACCATGACAAACCTTCTGGTAACATTGTACCTATTCTGGAAATCCAACCCGGGGCTTTGGTGTGGCAAGCGAATGCTTAACTATTAGGCTACCCCAAATATTAAATATTTCTTTTGAGGACTTTAGGGAATTGGTTATTTGTGAAAATAAATATCTTAGGCAACCCCAGAATAAGAAATGGATGGAACTTTATGAATAGGCATGTAATTTGCTGAAACAAAGAAATAATCTGTAAAAATGTCTACAAATCTTATAACAAACTCCTCGAAAACAAAAATGGGTTTTGAATTTACAATTTTCCCCATTTACCTTTATCAGACTTGAATAATTACAAAATATTATTGACATGTCATATTTCTTAGAAATTTAAAAAAAAAATTGCAATACCAAGTTGAATAGAGATAGCATGTGTTGAAATGACAGGCTTAAGCGTAAGCTTACAAGTTTACAGTATAAGTTCTCCAACACGCTTGCAGTCACCCTGTAAACTGAGATATTGTCTTGAAACCCAGGACATGTATCTCCACCCTGCTCCCATAATACCCTGTGGATTACTTGACCGAGAGAATGTCTTCTACACTAAAACTATCACAATCTAATAAACTGCTGTGTGCTCTAACTACAGCATCCTCCCTACCTAATAAGTATTTGAGCCAAGTGTATAAACACAAGGCCCATTTCCACAAAGCGATCTTAGCACTACAATAGTTGTAAACCGTAAGCCTATGTGGGAGTTACGATCATCTTAGCGCTACGATAGTCGAAAGCCCATGTTAAAGAATGGGAGTTACGATCATCTTGGCGCAAGATAGTCGTAAGCCCATGTTGAAGAAAGGGAGTTACGATCATCTTAGCGCAAGATAGTCGTAAGCCCATGTTAAAGAATGGGAGTTACGATCATCTTAGCGCAAGATAGTCGAAAGCCCATGTTAAAGAATGGGAGTTACGATCATCTTAGCGCTACGATAGTCGTAAGCCCATGTTAAAGAATGGGAGTTACGATCATCTTAGCGCAAGATAGTCGAAAGCCCATGTTAAAGAATGGGAGTTACGATCATCTTAGCGCAAGATAGTCGAAAGCCCATGTTAAAGAATGGGAGTTACGATCATCTTAGCGCAAGATAGTCGAAAGCCCATGTTAAAGAATGGGAGTTACGATCATCTTAGTGCAAGGTAGTCGTAGGCCCATGTTAAAGAATGGGAGTTACGATCATCTTAGCGCAAGATAGTCGAAAGCCCATGTTAAAGAATGGGAGTTACGATCATCTTAGCGCAAAATAGTCGAAAGCCCATGTTAAAGAATGGGAGTTACGATCATCTTAGCGCAAGGTAGCCGTAAGCCCATGTTAAAGAATGGGAGTTACGATCATCTTAGCGCAAGATAGTCGAAAGCCCATGTTAAAGAATGGGAGTTACGATCATCTTAGCGCAAGGTAGTCGTAAGCCCATGTTAAAGAATGGGAGTTACGATCATCAACCGTAGTCAAATACTGTATTCCAATATTTTACTCATCAAGGAATACAGGATGTAGGGAGTCAATTTCCGAGGTTGATTGTACACAATTGTTTATTTGGTTACATAATAGTTTGACCACACACACACACACACACACACACACACACCTAAAAAAAGGAAGAAAAGACATCGCCCGCCCACACTATATTTTCAAAAACCATTGCCTGAGAACCAATTCTATTTTATTGTTTTAAGCCTTAAACACAGAATGTTGGTTGTGATCGCAAGTTTTGCGTAGGCAGTGTAATCATGAAACTGATCTGAACCTCATTTGATCATGTATGAATGTAGTCATCTGATCACACACAAGGGCTGACCACCTGGTCCTGTCCGATCATCACTATGTTAAACCTCTGAGGGACATTGGTTTAACACTGCTGTGAATGAGTGAGTTTAGTTTAATGCCGCTTTGAACAGTGCTTCAGTAATATCGGGGAGTGTCAGCTTGATGTGGGAGGAAAGTTTAATGATGCAGGTCTTCATCTTCCTGAGGCAAAGGAGTTAATTGACTATAAACAAACCAACAAACCAACAAACCAGGAATCATAATCAGGCCGAATCTGGGATTCAAACCATGAAACCTCTGCTGGTTTAGTGAAGCGAACAAGCACTGTCAAGAGTTTCTCGTGGGGATACCGGGTAACAAAAGGTCCCTTGAAACCTCTGCTGGCTGTAAGAGGTGACGACATGGACGAGGCTCAGCAACTTGGTTGGTTGTGTGTCATTGTATCCTGATGGTGTGGATCGTTGTTCACAGCAGTGATCACTAGATTGTCTGGTCCAGGAACCTGTTCCACAAAGCGATCTTAGTGCTTAGTTGGTCGTAACTCCCACACTTGATCATAGGCTTACGATCAACGTAGCACTGAGATCGCTTTGTGGGCCCCGTTCCACAAAGCTATCTTAGCGCTAAGACGATCGTAACTCCAAAACTTTAACATAGACTTACGACTGTCGTAGCGCTACGATTGCTTTATGGAACAGGGCCCAGGCTCTTATTTACAGACCGTCGCCACAAAGTTGGAACATTGCTGAGTGTTGTGACACAAACAAATGAAATCACCTGGGCCTCGTTTTGTTTGTTTGTTTGTTTGTTGTTTAACGCCGCACTCAGCAATATTCCAGCTGTATGACAGCAGTCTGTAAATAATCGAGTCTGGACCAGACCAGTGATTGACATCATGAGCATCGATCCACGCAATTGGGATACGATGACATGCATCAACCAAGTCAGCGAGCCTGACCACCCGATCCCGTTAGTCGCCTCTTACGACAAGAATAGTCACCTTTTACGGCAAGCATGGGTTGCTGAAGACCTATTCCATCCCGGATCTTCACGGGGCTAGAGCAATGTGAATATTCTTTACAACATACACAGTGTGTGTATTACATGATGAAAGTCTTCATATCGACCGATGTGCTTCTGCGACATAATATTAAAAAAAAGATGTATGCATTTGGTCATTTTATTATTTGTGAAACATGATACACGTATCAACAAAACAAATGTATGGAAAAATATATGAAACTGAATAATATATGACAACGGGAAAAATACAGCCCATGAACTGTTTACGAACAAAGATCAACAACGAAATGAAAAATAATGTAATATGTGGTAATTTTGGTTAGTATTTTGATGAATCTCATTGGATTATGCACAGAGAGGATGTCAGAATGTACCCCAATACTGACGTGACAATATAAAATATGTTTAAAACTAAAACAAAACAATACAAACTATTCTTGGCATCTGACAGATATAATGTTTTTGTCAAACCATCAATTTCATAACACGATTTTCATAAGACCTATTATTCGTTTAGCGACAGTAAATATTTATCAAGACGCACATTTTTACCATATAACAAAAGACAAAAATGTGACTCCCTCAACACATCGAATACTGAGTCCCATATATCCGCCATGGACTGTCCACAATCTCAAATCACTTAAGGATTGACTGTGTATTTTTTTCGGTTCATTGAGGTATGAATCGAAAAGCCGATATGCAAACTGTATGAATCCGCGTAGCGGATTCTTACAAAAGTTTGCACATCGGCTTTTCGATTCATACCTCAATGAACCGAAAAAAATATACAGTCAATGCTTATAATTAAATTCGACAACGTAAAACATGTTTTATCTACAATAGTTTAACCCAAAACAGTTGCATATAGCAAAACAGACAAAAATGACGACATTGATAAACATTCCAGGTGTAGGAATACATACAGTGGCCTGACATGAATCAGGTGATCGTTTAATTTATGCACATAGCTTGACACGCCTACACAGTCAGTAGCCAATCAACGGAGAGTGGGATTAAAACAATGTTCATTTGACCTGTCAATTAAGGCAAGAGGCGAAAAGAACTGCAACAGTCAGACTGTAACGAACCGGAAGAAATATGTCCGAGAGAAGGCGGCAGTTTCAAATAGCATGGTCATTTACTGCGTGATTCAAACATTACTTCCCTGATTACGGTAAAACACGGTTGGAGAAATGCTAGTTAGAAATGAAACCCGAAGACATGGAAGTTGAACCGGGGCGAGCGGGAATAAAACAGGCGAGCGAGCCTGCACGTTTGCTGTTTCATTCATTCTCGGCCATCGGTTTCAAAGGGTAGTTTGGACAATGAATATGCATGAAAGTCGCTAAATGTCCTGTGCATGACGATACACGTGAGCAGAAAGGGAATTCCCTCGACTGTATTATTGGGATTCCCCGACATTCCGAAGTAATAAAAGTAGTGCGCCGCGGTGGGCGTGGCTTAATTTTTTACGTTCATTGGGAAATGAATGCAATAACACGTGACCAATTCAGCTAATCAGAATGCAGGAATTTCCATGAACACAACGAAAATTTAATTATTCCCAAATAACCGGGACAGTTTTGTCTTCCTTCCCACTGATGGCCTGAGACAGGAATGGCGCCTGAATGGTCATCTCGCCCTCTGCATTCAGGACACTCGTCAACATGGACTGGTCCACTTTTTCCGGGAGACGAATGCGCCTTCGCAGTGTCTCAGTCTCGGTGTACTCGTCATGCTTGTTCTCGCGCTCGGCTTCCACGATGACGTCACCACTTCTTACAACTACCCGGATGTCGTCTGGTTTGTAGCTGGACAGATCGAACCGAATTTTGAAATCTTGTGGTGTAGAGGAGATGGGAACTTTCTCCTCGGCTTTGACCTGTGTCTTCTCAACATCTTCCTCTCTATCAGACGTCAGTCGTGCTACATCTTCGCCTTCGGGCATTATACGGACTGTCGTCTGATCTGGAGCACTGTCACCTGTCGTCTGCTTCTCCACGTGCAGGAAGTCATCAGCGTCATCTGTGAGAGACAACTTCTCGTCATATTTCAACATTAGGCAGGTATCTTCTTCTTCTCCTTTCTCTTCCTCGCTTATCTCTTCCTCGACATCCGTTAGATCGTCCAAGGACTCTGTTTCTGTTGTGTTGTCTTCCGAACGAGGTTCATCTCTGTCTAGACCTGTGTTTGTCTGTTCAGCAGGTTCTTCCTTCTTATCAAGGCTCCTATTGACCAAATCTTTCTTCTCCTCAGGAGGAAGACCAAAGATGCTGGAAAAAAGTCCCGTCAGATGTTCCATGCCTACTTGAAAAGCTGCTTGGACTTCGCTATCTATTTCCAGTCCATCGTCATCGTCATCATCGCCCGTGTCACTTGTCCTGGTAGGGTCAGTTTTGATATTCTCCTCTTTTTGTTCAATTTTCTTCTCATCCTTTTGCTTCTCCGGTTTCTCCTCCACAGTGACTTTCGTGGACGCGGGGATCTCAAGGGTGACCTTGCCGTCAACATATCGGCAGATAATTCCCGTTCTGTCAAAACCAGGTGGTAGCGGAAGTGTTCTTGTGACCCGGAAGGAGTTGCCGGGGTCATCATGTCGGCCACACACAACTACGGCGCTGTCTGTGACTTTCACTTTTATTTCCCCTGCAGAAAAACCGCGGAAATCGAGGCATGCAATCATAGACTTCGGCACCTGTTTCTGGGCAGGACACTCCCCTCTCTGTGCCCCTCCACTTTCTGTGTCACATAGGCGTCTACTGTGACAACATTCCGACTCAGGGTTGTTGTGCGACATCACCATTAGAGGGCGGAGAATGTCGTGGAGAAACCCAATATTACTCAACTGCTGCTGTCGACGGCACGGGTGTCTCCGGTAATAGCAGGGTCTCGAATACCCGGCCCGGTCTCCGAACACGTTCTCGGGTACCACGTGGAACAACATCGTCGTTGATGGTTTCGTCTGCTCGTCAACGATGTAGGTGAAGTAGTTCAATGTAAATGGCCCAGTTACGATAGATACCCTTGGCGCTCTCGCTGCTTCGGCGGTCTGTTGTCAGTCGTGCTCAGTGTTGAAGCTGAATGACAGAATGACATCCAGTTTTAACCCTCACCTTATATACAGCTACACAACACACCCACAACCTCGTCGATTCTTCCAGCAAACGCAACGAGAAAGTAACAGATGATTCGAGAGCCGGGATGACAGCGTGATTCTGTTTACGGAAGCGACGAAACAGAGCCAGTGCGCAGTCGCAAGACTAAAAATAACGCAGTAGGCGGAGCTTATCGTGTGAATGGCTCTTCTGGAAAGTTCGTGATCTCGCTCGCTGTCGACTGGCTTACTCTGTCATATCAGTCAGCCTGGTGTCGTTTTAGGCGAGATACAGGGGTAATTTAAATAAGCGAAATCAACACTATTCAGGGTGTCTATACAAGACTCCCTGCAATAATGTGTAGAGAATCTCACCCTCGTGTCTTTTGATATCAAATATATCCACACGAGTCGATGAAAGTTTAATACTCCGATGCTTGCCGAGGCAGTTTTAACTTTTATCGACGAGTGTTGATATATTTGATATCAAAAGACATGAGGGTGAGATTCTATTAATCAACCAACATAATTCTTTCACCAGTTTCAGTTCGTAAACAAGGATGACGTCACAATAGTCTCCAAAGCGATGTGATCCCACCAAAGCGATATAAATAGTGGAGACCAGTTTTGTATATATATATATACACACACACACGTGTGAATGGCTCTTCTGGTTCTATACGTGTATATATATTTTAATATCATGAGCATCGATCCACGCAACTGGGCAATAGAGCCTCTGAATTATATACACTTTTATTCAAGTATCTTTGAAATTTGTCAAGATTGTTTAAGTTGTTTTGTTTTGTTGTTTTTTTAATGTTAAAATATCTGCGAGAAGAAAACATCTGGCACTGCCTTCTCAATTCATATGTTCTATAAATAACTACTCGCCGTGAAACTGAAACGGCACGCCCGTCCCGTGGTATAGCAGATGATCCACTACGATAAAATACAAGCGTAACAGTAAAATAGATTTCTTGGCAAATCAAACCGTGCTCCTTTTCGGTCATTTGACGGAACATAATTGCAATCTCAAGCATTTCTAGAACGCAAACGATTCACCCAATGAAACAGCGAGCTGGATTTACCAATGTTTTAGAAATTAGAGCACGCTTTACTTGCTTCCTGTAAATGTTTGTCTGTTGCAAATCTGGAGGACCTCCGTCACAGTGTAGTGTTGTTCCCTTTCAAATGTCAGGATTAAGAACATCCTCAAATAACTAATGTCCTTTTTTATACATGCAGACGTTCATTGACAACAGTGATCGTCCGGAGAGTTGGGTTTACGGATTAACAGGGATTCACTGTGGACAGTGTGTATTGTACAAGAGCCCCTTAGGTCTTCAGCAACCCATGCTTGCCGTAAAAGGTGACTATGCTTGTCGTAACAGGCGACTAACGGGATCGGGTGGTCAGGCTCGCTGACTTGGTTGATGCATGTCATCGATCCCAATTGCGTGGATCGATGCTCGTGATATTAATCACTGGATTGTCTGGTCCAGACTCGATTATTTACAGACTGCCGTCATATAGCTGGAATATTGCTGAGTGCGGCGTTAAACAACAAACCAACCAACCAACCAACCAACCTTACTGGGGCAGTCACGTCACATTTATAATAACACAGGGAACAAACACGAGACGGGCAACGTCGAAAGATTATGTTTGACTTTTCTTGTCACACAGCATGATTATCCCTAAGAACTATATTATCACCATGGGTGGCGCTATCGTAAGTGAAAATGTAGGTTTTTTTAGGTAAAAGGATGAGATAAACATGTCCTTTGACGAGAAATGACTGTTTCCTATTTGTCATGTATTCTTTTTTACCGATCTTGGTGATTTTATTCTGAAACCTCAAGAGTATCATTGGTGCAGTAGTTGCCTAGACTAACATCTAGTCTCTGAAATGAACATATCGTACAGAAAAAAACAGTTGTTCAGTTATCTTAATACAAATATAATAAAAGGGTGCCCAGTGACTCTCTTCATCTCTGCAGTAATCTAGACTTGCCAAACATTATAGACTTGCATGGGCTGTATTTGATATACATTTGTATCAGGGTCTGTAAGACAGACTAGTCGTTGCCATATCGTGTTATTTCACTCAAGTGAAATATCGATGATATATTTTTAAATAATTAATTTATCGAAGACAAAAATTGTACTAGATAATGTTTGAAAAATATTTTTGCTTCAGGAAAAATACACTGTTGCAATATGTTTTTTTAAAACAATATTTAGGCTCACGGTTGTAATAAGAAAATAAAAGTATCTTGTCGCCATACAAAATCCCAGCCCCGCACCTCGAGGCTGTATCCCACTACAGACTCCGCCATGACAATGATGTGACACTGTGGATGTCCCATAAACGTGGAAAAACGGTCAAATGAAACTATGAAGTGAACTATATTTATCACTCTCAATATGTATTGACTCTTTTCCATTACGGCAAGACCCGAGAAGATCCGGGATAGAATAGGTCTTCAGCAACACATGCTTCCCGTAAAAGGCGACTATGCTTGTAGTAAAAGGCGACTGAAGGGATCGGGTGGTCAGGCTCGCTGACTTGGTTGATGCATGTCATCGATCCCAATTGCGTGGATCGATGCTCATGATATTAATCACTGGATTGTCTGGTCCAGACTCGATTATTTACAGACCGCCGTCATATAGCTGGAAAAATGCTGAGTGCGGCGTAAAACAACAAACCAACCAACCATTACGGCAACCGAAAGACAGTCAAAGATGAAAAACACGAAAAAAAGCATTCGACGTCACCATAAGTATGACGTCATTTACATAGCCTTTGTGACTCCACGACATTATGACATCATAATTGACGTCATGTTACATTGAACGGACAACATGGCTGCGCCCATGAGCCATCCTCGGCACTGGACAAATCTCCTCCGATGTTCAGTGTGTTTTTCTTACTTCCATGAACCCGTCACATTGTTCTGCGGGCATACTTACTGCAAAGGGTAAGCTGTGATACACTTCAATCCAAACATCATATGTATCTTCGTGTGCATTTGAATCTAGATTGAGTCAACCGGTTTTTTGTACCGTCTAGCTATTTTATTAGAAAAATAAATTTGCAGACCCTTCCTGCTTATTTTTGAGCTTTATCGCTGATTTTTGCAAATAATACGATTATCGCTTGCAGCTGTATTAGTACCGTAACATCAAACAAACATGGCAGTTAAGTGTACAGTTTCCGTAAAAACGTGAACCGTTCGTTCCGGATTGGGAACCAAAATACTGCAGTCTACCCTATAACTGGACATCTATTGATATGAAATGATGACTAAACCGAATCTGACAAACTAATAACAGTATTTCCGTTATATCACGGCAAGCATAAAGTGGGTACACATGCACTATAACGGACACGTATCCGCCTTGTTTGTTTGATACTGCTCATGAAGCCGCACGCGACAGCATCACTATTTGAAAAATAACACACACACACACACGTATATAAGTGCAATAATCTTGAAAGCTACGTGAAACCCCATTTCACCTCAACTCATATGAAATTATGTTAAAAGCGGCGTTAAATCAAAATAACTTACACAGAAAAAAATCGGCAATCATATTATACTGTGTGTGATTGTCTCGAAAGAGCAGTAAAAAATCTAGTTAAGTGGGTGTATCTTTACCCGGTGCAACCGATACGAGTAAATTAATCCATGCGTTCTCATAAGCTTTGGAATAAACATTTTATTGATTTGTCAACCTCTGCAAGAAAAAGTAGACGAAAACTAAATTTCACCGTTGAAAAACTGGCATTCGATAAAGTACCTGGGGTCGGATCCCTCTCAAGCCGCAGTACCACGTGACCTCCATTGGAAATATATTCTCATTTGTTTCTACACGCATAGGAGTGATTCTGAAAACTACACCCCTGGATAAGATGAGTACCGTATTTCCTCTAATAGAAGCCGGGTCAATTGTTCAGTGCAAAAAAATAGAAGCCGGGCCTCTAATAGACGCCGGGTCGATCAATTGATACAAGTACGGACTTCGAGAATTGATTGAGATATATCTACGGATATCTACGAACACAAAATATTTCCATTTCGTGACGATTCGGGACATTCGTGGTCATAGTGAAATGGGGGTATTAATAGAAGCCGGGCCTCCAATAGACACCTGGCCTCTAATTGACGCGGGGTCAAAGGCTTGTCCGAAATAAATAGAAGCACGGGCGTCTAATAGAGGAAAGACGGTACACAGTTTTATATACGGCTGCGTGCACTTTTCAGATGTATGCGGCGGATGGCCGAGACAATGGAAGAAAACCACCCGGATGTCCCTGAGCATCGACTGCGCATGTGGTGTCCGACTTGCAGACATGGTGTACCTGCGCAGATGTTCTTGAGGAACGATGCCAACATCTCGTTTGTCTTACAAGATCTCGTTGAAGGGTGGCGAGCAGAGAGAAGCAATGTACGTATTAAAAGGTGGTTACTTCGGGTTTTCCTCCCACAGCAAGCTGACACGCCCTGATACGCAGATGAACTTATTTGGGTTTAACAGTGGTGATCAGTGGTAGCCCACTGATATACTATGCCGCACTTTAACATGAATATCACACACGTTGCTGAAAACCACGAGCACTGGGGTTGGGTTTACTGAAACCATGGTTAGGATTCAAACCCACGATCGGCAAATTCTAGCAGATACCTTTGGGCTACCCGCGCCCACTTTGGTGAGGTGAGGTGAGGTGAAATTGGGTTTAACGTCGCGTCCAAGATTATTGTACTTATATAGCGACGTGCATGCACTTGTGTATGTGTGTGGCTGCTTGTACTAGTCCGGACTGATGCCGATTTATAGTGCTAGCACACTGAGATACCATGCAGCAGTTTAACATGAATACCCCACTCAGACACAGTATACTGACTCCGAGACGACCAGTCCTTGCTTTAACCCCTTAATGCCGAGCACCAGACAGGGTAACAACAAGTACCATATTTTAACGTCTTTTGGTATGACGCAGCCGGGGATCGAACCCCGAACCTTCCGCTCTCCGGGCGGACGCTCTACCACTAGACCACGGAGGCGGTCCCACTTTGGTACATGTATTGATAGGTATATAGTGCGTTTACTCACGATACATTAATGTTTCGAACTATTGAAATCTTCCTCTGAGACGTTGGCACCTCTGAGACGTTGACGACATAACTGATTTTCAGTGATCAATTCAAAGAATTTTCATAGCGTTTTTGTCTTTTTTCACCAAGTGGGACCCGTGAGACCCAGAAAGAACAGGTCTTCAGCAACCCATGCTTGCCGCAAAGGGCGCCTATGCTTGTCGTAAGAGGCGACTATGCTTGTCGTAAGAGGCGACTAACGGGATCGGGTGGTCAGGCTCGCTTACTTGATTGATACATGTCATCGATCCCAGTTGCATAGATCGATTCTCATGATGTTAATCACTGGATCGTCTGGTCCAGGCTCAATTATTTACAGACCGCCGTCATATAGCTGGAATATTGCTGAGAGCGGCGTTAAACAACAAAGAGAGTAGAAAGGATACCAAGTGGAATCTGTTTCGGTGGAAATTTATTTGCTACTCAATTGTATATGGAGCTTGAGATCATCGCTAAGGATAATTATCAACCGTTATTTTGCCGCGCAGATTGCCACATCCGGACAAGTAATGGTCCATTCAAGATCAACCCAAACCGACAACCCATCAAGGACGCACCACCGTAAACCGGAAGTTGTCAGTAAAGACGAAAGCTACCTTAAGCTCCGCTCAGACATTCAGTACCTCCAAGCGGCCATCTTGTCCGGTGACTCGGACCAATCATGTGGAGACACAAATGACAACCAGCGAGTCTATGCGCGAAACAGTACCAGCGAATCCAATCTAGCCGACATTCAAGAATTTGATGACCTCAACGATGAACCAGTCGATGACCTTGAGAATGAAGGTGAAGGTCATGACGCAGGTCAACCGGTGCGCGTTGAAAGAGGTCGACCAGGATGGTCCCCGACCAGGACGTTGATGGTTATTGTGTGGGCTACGTACACCATCGTTATTATGATGGTAGCCGTTAATTTCCTGCCCTACATGATACTTTACTCAGTTTTATTCATGGTAATAATTTACACAGACAGACTACCCAACAGATATGAGATGTAGATGCCTGTATTAGTTCTTTTGAAGCTATGGGCCATCCTCGAGTATCAAGGGTATTATATCTCAATTTTATTGTGATAAAGACCCCTGACCATTTGACATGTCATGTCAAAATGAATTCTTGACACTACCTATAAGGGTAACGCTATTTTTCAGGGCATTATCATTGGTAGAAGCCCGAGGTCTTCCATCAACTGCCCGACGAAGGAGGGCAGTTGAAAAGACCGAGGGCTTCTGCAAATGATAATGCCCTGAAAAATAGCGTTACCGTTATTGTAGCTAAAATGGATTGAATTAGTTATCAAATATAAAGAATCAACAATATCGGTTTTGAAACATTTACTGCAATCAACACCAATGTCACTGACCTACTTTTACAAATATGGAAACGTCATAGAACAAACCAGATGACGTCACTATTGAACGTGACGCACCTATCCCTATCATACGACGTCACCTAACAACGGGCGTGATAATGGCCCGTCGTCAAGCAATATGAGGGCATTATCAAGTTACAGTGGCCCGCTCATTTTTGATAACATGCGGGCGGTTTAATGATAATTCTATCCATTTTAGCTATAAAACCGGTATAAAGGACAGGACCATTACATATGTTTTTCGATACAACGCTTTAATGTAAACATAAAAATTAACAATGTAATATATAATGGACTAAATATGAACGTTTAAATTAGTATAGCTAAAATGAATAGAATTATCATAAAAATTCCCGCATGTTAACAGAACTTGACAGCAGTCCGCTTTCCCCTAACGACGGGCTACTGTCTATTCTATTCCTATGTGACGTCATTGGCGTCACGTTTCTTGTTTGTGACGTTATCCTATACTATGTTCTATGATGTTGACATTTGTAACTCAGTGACCTCCGTTTAGCTTTTTTTCTCTTTAATTTTTATCAATAAAGTCACGAACATGGTTTCTTTAATAAATAATGTCTTTGCTCATCACAATTCATTTTATTAAAACACAAAACAGTGTCGAATAACGAATTTCTGTACTAGAATTTCCATGTGAGGTGGGTGTTGGAAAATTCAAAATGGCTGTTACTGACGGTGTACGGTCTCATAGTAGGTCAGTAATAACCATCTTGGATTTTTACTGAAGGATGTTTACAATACAGTCAGGTCTCGATATAACCACGAAATTTGGATAAACCGAAATATTAATTTAGTATTAAGTATTTTATATCATGCTTCTTTCTAAGACCCATGACGTTCAATGAATGTCGTATTGTAATATACAGACAGTTTCAATAGTGAGACAAATCGATACATAGCAGGTGACAGACACATTTTTATAGATCCATTTTTAGAAATAATGCAGCAATTGCAAAACGTGTACACGTCTATCGTTTAACAATGTGTGTAAGCTGATTTGATTGTGAATAAATGACTGCATATTATCAATATTTTAACTAAATACGTGTTCTGTCTCTTTGTCTATATTCGTGTGCGTATTATCTATTTTTGTTTGTTTTCAAACTTAATATTCTTTCAGAGGCATCATTAGACTGATATGTTGATAGACTGGCGTCCCTTCGCAGCGCCAGTGTTTGACCCAAAGCGGCATCGTATTGAAGTAAGAGATCCGATTTTAATGAGATTGTAATTCTATAATTCACTATCAACATATCTTAAAGGAAGTGCGTGGTGCAATCTGTCTGTTTGACATGGCAGTTTTTGATAACGCATGTTTCCGTTTTGTTCGACGTGAGATTCTACATGGTGACAGCTCACGGGAGATGGCTGACTGGATAACACAAGGAAATCCTGAACATAAAACAGGGAAACATTCACACTCATAGGATATTTACAAAGTCCTATTTTTATTTCTTTGGTGTGAGTTTCAAGTGAATTTCAACTCGCGAGCTTTCTTCAAGATTTGTTTCGCCGTTTAAATTTGAGAAGCTCAAAAGACATGCAGAGATAACCTTATTCTATGTTAAATAAAATCAGTATCGCTACGAATAGAATATATAATCTACTTGAATCGTGTCATAGCATAGTTATCGCACACAGCAGTCTCTGATCAGTTGAATGATCTGTTAACTATGCAACAAATAGTTGAACATTGTTCTTTTCTAAGGTTAAGCAGTGCACTCCTATCGTTCTAGCTTTGTTTACAATGTATTCCTAGCTCTCGATGCTGCAGGCGAACCTATTCGACAGGCGCACCTTCAAATGAAACTCGCAATAACTGTTTAAGGAGTAGGCTTTGTGTATCATTTAGATTACGTGTGATATGCAAAATGCTCAGCTTTCAAAATATCAAAACTTCAGTAGTATATTTACCGAAAAAAAGAAAACATTGCGAGTTAAGAAAATATCACCCAAATATCTCAGCACACAAATACCAGAAACGGCCATTGTTGACTTTTAGAACTTCACGGTGAGCGGTATGCAGTCAGATATTTTCTTTATCATTTTATCATTTTTCCCATTCGATCATATTTTTTGTTACCTGATGAAAAGAAAACAACTGGTCGACAACGGTAGGATATAATGGTTTATGCAACGCACACTGAGAGCCAAATCGGTGTTTCGCCACGTCACAACTTATTTACGCATATATATTTGTTTGTAACATTTTCTTTTTCCTTCGACACCTTCCCTTCGAATTCTATATATTATTTTTCAATTCTTGCAGGGATCTATATTTAAAGGACAAATGCTTTACGGTAGCTATGTCATTAAAATCATATCTTAGTTGTTTAGCGGTAGCGAAAACTAAGATCTTATTATAATGAGATTGTACGGTAGCCGTCACTGATCAATCTTCCCATAAGCAAGGTTTTTTATTTCCAGGAAGTCGTGGCATGAAAGTCAGGCCAAGCTGGAGAGCCGTCTCTCCTGATCTGCACGTTTGCGTGGCGCTAGCACGTGCAGCTCCATTGCAATAACGGGTGTCATTAATTGTGTTTAAACGTCGGCGGTACATACAGATAAGTGCTTAATTCTTTATATACAGTAAAAAAATGAATTCACAGAATATTGTTATTCAAGTTAACGCCCTTATAAGCAGTTTAATCCTTCGCGAAAACGGAAATTGTAAATTATTATCACAGCTTGATGTGAGAATTAGGGATTATTTGACTTTACGCAACATATTTCTTTGTTTAATCTGAAATTGACAATTTTGACCTCCTTGAATAATTGCAAATATTGCAAGGGATTTAATCCGAATAACTGTCTTTTGATGATAACGTGGTAATAAACACATGCAGCTGAGGCGTTATCCACACAGCCAAATGTCTTCCGTGCTTGTGAAGCCCATTTCTGGTGTACCCCTCCGTGATATTGCTGGAATATTGCTAAAAGCGGCGTAAAACCATACTCATTCAATCTTCCGTACTCCACGATGAACCACACACCTGTTGCAGTGGTCAGATAGAGTTACCTCCCCTATACCGCCAGGTGCCCAAAGGTGACAGATGACAGCGTAATCAATGCTCAGTGACAAAGCGCATCGAAGTCAGCGACAGATACACGCTTTCTCCACGGATTGCAGGTGAGAATGCACGGACCCCACGTGCGGAAACTTATTGAATTACGTCATGGGGATATGTGATAAAAACAATAACGGCATTGTCACCCTGTACCTCTAGCTCAGACTGTCAAACTAGGTCAATGAAGCTTTTGAAGAAGATTATATATCGATAGTGCTATTTAGTCGACACTTTGCAACGATTTTACTGTTAACGGTTTACTGTAAAAAATATTTGTCAATTCATTGACGTGGGTAATTGTGAAACAGAGAACTCCCGAATGCCATAGCGAATGGTGACAGATTCATGATCTGTGACGAAATTGACAAGAGTTCTGTCTCGTGTCTATTGTTGTGAACTTTGCAACAAACTTGAGAGTCGTGTTGAGTTAAGAACAACTGGTATATATTTAAATGAGTTGTTTGTCTGTTTTCTAACACATTGCAGTAAATATCGAATGCATTATGGGATAAGGTCGGAGTGTTAATTATTTATATTTGAATAATATTGAAATATTTTAATATTTTTCCCAGTCCAGAAATAGGTATTGAGAAAATATATTGATCATGTATGTTGATCAGTATAGATCCCTAAAAGAATGGTACCACACTACACAGCATAAAGGTGATGCATTGCAATTACAACCAGGAACAAGTCGCTATGTCTTGGTACAGCCTTTTAATGTTGTTTTACAAAACCAACCAACGTCATGGACACATCACCCTTATTAAAATTACAAAAATATAAAGCAGAGATTTATCTGTTTCCTAACAAAGTGCTCTTGGCATTTTGGCAAAAAATATTTTAGATTAGATTTATTTTCAGTTCAGATGTTCTTGAATTCAGAGGTATTTTAACATTGCATTGAATTCAATAATTAATGCCTCATGTCTTTCCTGGCCCTGTTGTTAGTTATTAATTATTATCAGTAGTTATATGCCTAAATTAATGTGAATAAGGAATTATTTTAGCACCTATTTGGGACTTTTTACTGACGTCTACTGCAGACTTGGGTAGGATATCGGTCTCTGTGCAGGTCCAGATATAAATCTATGTTACGTGTATATTGACAATAAAACCTTTAAGAGTTGACTTTATTTCACAATTAGGTGTTATCCCCAAAATATGAAAATCACATAAGTTATATGGCTGTTTGGAGGATGAAATCCTCTACCGTTTACAAACTGATAAATATTTGAACAACTTGTGTGGCAGCTTTCCTAATATTAATCGAGACTGGTGTGAATATTTGGGGACTGCTGCACTCAAAGATGGAGTCTGCTGAAGCAGGGATGCAAATCATCCTCAACCATTTACTTGTCCCAATATTGTGGTATGGCCACTGCCTAAAATTCCTGAAAGTGGACTACTAGTCATATGTACTTTGTCACTTTCATGACACGAGTGTCAGAATTCTTGTTCCTTAAGTTAGTGCCAGGGTAATGCATGCATTCTTACACAAGTTTCATAAAATCAGTATGAGTGAGTGAGTGAGTTGTGTTTAACACCGCTTTTAACAGTATTCCAGTCATATCACGGCGTGTCAGCTTAATGTGGGAGGAAAGCCCGAAGTGATGCAGGTCTCAGACGTTTACCACTTCGGTGAAACCCACGAGC